CAGCCAACCATCAACCTACCTTGATCTGCCCATTTTGACTTCAGCTTTCCATCTCCTCCCTCCTGGAGAGCAGTTGTAATTCTGAGTGATCTCCAGCCCCCACCTGGAGATTAGCAACAGTGGTTCCATGGGAGGGACTGGCTGGTTTGGAGGGTGGAGTCTATGGCATTGTACCTTTCTGAGGTCCCACCCCTCCTGAAACCTCACCCTCTCCAGACTTGATCCCTCAAATCTCCAGGAATTTTCCACCTGGAGTTGGCAACCCTATCTCCTTCTCAGCCAATCATCAACCTACCTTTATTTTCCCCTCACTCTTCAGCTTTCCAACTCCCACACACACACCTGCAGCCTCTACCGTGCTCTGATGCCCTGACTGCTACGTCACATTGGCTGTCATACGGGTGCAATCTCAGCAGGATATAAGGACTCAGTCTACCATTTTCTCAAGGGGAACTGATCTCTGCCATCTTGAAAGTAGTTGTAATTCTGAGTGATCTTCAGCCCTCATCTGGAGATTTGCAACAATGGTTTCCCCCCCAGGCACTAAGGGGAGATGTATTTTACCTCAGAACAGCAGCAGCAAACTGTTTAGAATGTTAGAGGCAAAGGCCAGTGAGGTCGCATATGCAAATGACCTCTGTGTTCTGATTGGCTGTGCGGAGGAGAGGAACAGCAAACTGTTTAGAATGTTGGAGGCAGGACTCAGGCAAAGCAGCCAATGGATAGGGAGACCCTCTGAATGATAGATCAGGGAGCGAACTGATTAAGGTGACGTGTTGGAACGTTGTGGAACCACAACTCAATTATATATAAGGACAGGATATGATTTACCTTTGTTTACTATAGTAAAACCAATAAAAAGATTATATAAAAAAAGAACATTTCTGTGGGTAGTACAAAAACAGATGAAAGTGGCAGAGTATTTTAAGAGTAGGACTGATGAAAACTTTACTACACAAGCAAAGATGAGATGAGACAAGCATGCATTTTTCCTATTTATCTTTTTTTTTCTAGTTCTGACATAGACTTTCTATTTATACATTCACTTTCTGTTGCTTTATTAAAAGAAAAGAAATATGTCTGCATGGGACAGACTGTAATTTCAGCCTACCGGTAATCCATTTTTCAACCACCGGATTGTTGGAATCGGCTTGCCAGTAGCTGTGCAAACCCAGTGTAAATCACTGCCCAAATCTCTCTCAGTATCATTGATATGTTCCACCCATTCTGGCATTGCTGAAAAGCAAACACAAATCTTATTATTGCATGCTTGGTTAATGCCAGTTTACTTTCTCTCTTTCTACAGCCATTTTTTTCTGCATATAGTAGTGTCTGAATAGTTGGCATGCCATTTGAAACCCTGCTTCTGTCATCTTAAAGGTAAAGGTTCCCTTGCTTGAAAGCCAGTCGAATCCGACTCTAGGGTTGCGGTGCTCATCTCCGTTTCAAAGCCAAAGAGCCAGCGCTGTCCGAAGACATTTCTGTGGTCATGTGGCCGGCATGACTAAACACCAAGGCACACGGAACGCTGTTACCTTCCCACTGAAGTGGTACCTATTTATCTACTTGCAATTTCTTGCTTTCGAACTGCTAGGTTGGCAGGAGCTGGAACTAGAGATGGGAGCTCACTCTGTCATGCGGCACACTCAGGTCTCGAACTGCTGAACTACTGACCTTCCACAGCCTGCAATTCAGCATCTTAACCACTTGAGCCACCGCAGCGTACTCACTACGAATTCACTGTGGTTTCCATGATGAAATAACTGGGGGTGGGGATGTAGCCATAAAATGTCACATTTTGCTATCCTTTTTGAACTGCTCTCCAGCTCAATATATTTTTCACCAGTTTAATTAATACTTTTGTGGGGAGTAACCCCATAAAATAGACCTGAGTAGGATTCTTAGTTGTTCTCTAACAGGGCCATCCAAAGCAGGGTTGCATCCTACTAAGATCACCAAAGTCAGCCAGAGTAGAATAGAGTAACTCTGGTTAAGCTGGCACTGTAAATCTCTTTGTTACAAGCCGTGCTTGCTCCATTCTCTTTCCTCTTGATGCATGGCATAGTTTATGGATGGTCCCCATGTTGAATGTGTGGCATGGAAAAACAAGGCAATATTCCCTCTTTCAAGCTGTAAAGCAATCAAATATGACTGTGTGCTTGGAGAAATGTGTTCTGAATCTTACACTACAGCTCATAGTCCTGAGACAATTGTATGTTTCTGTAGAGGTAGAAGGAATAGTGTTTTCACATTATTTGAACAGCAATCTTTATTAAGGAATGCAATCTGCATTGTATGTGTGTTTTATATTGGCCAAGAACATATATACTTTAATCCAACTATTAATTACATATGAAGCAGTCACTTAAAGGTTTTCGTATGAAAAACATAGGTCCAAACTACACAAGCATAGAAGCATCAGCAGAGGGAACCTGAGGCCCATCTGTTCTGAATCTAAAGTCTAAATATGCTCAACCTTAGAGAAAGCTCTTATTTGACAAACAGAATATTTTACAAGTTTTATCCTGGTTTCAACAATTATTATCAATAATAATAAATAAATCAGACAATATTAAAATCTGGATGCTTTTGGGTCCCCAATCTGGCACTGGCCAGTTGGCTGGCAGGGGGAGCCCCACCCCTGAAGAACCCCGTCACGACCAACATGCCTGGTGCGATTATGTCATATCAGCTTTACTCTTTAGATGGACATTCAACTGACTCCACTGCCTATTTAGGAAATGAAATGTACAGAAAACTAGGTGAAATAATATCTAGCTCATATACGGTTGCCAGGTCTTACCTGTGTTCCAGTGGGGGGCTCCAGCCCGGCTCCTGGGGTCTTTTAACATGTGCACTTTGCATGCATGCCATAATGACATCACTCGGAAGTGATGTCATCACACCGGGCACATTGTGCGGGGGACACTCTAGCATTTGGGTAAAAGCTCTATGGTGACTATAGAGGTTTTTTTACCCAAATGCTAGAGTGTTGCCTGAATGATGTGCCCAGCACAATGATGTCACTTCTGGGCAATGCTCCCTCTAAACTGTGGAGTCATGTGAACAAAAATTCTACTTTGTGAGTGACTGGCATTAAAGTTGTGAGCGAGCGATTTGGCTGCTGCATAAATTAGTTAACTCTGGAGCCATCCTTCCTGAGCTAAGACAAAAATGTGTGAGTCAGAGGCTAAAAAACTGAGCTAGCTCACACTAAATCAGCTTAGAGGGAACACTGCTTCTGGGTGATGTCATCGCTGTGTGCATGCATAGCGTGCACATTAGAAGACCCTGAGGGCTGGGCTGGAGCCCCCCGCCAGGACACAGGTAAGACCTGGCAACCCTATATGACCTAGATATTATTTCACCTAGTTTTCTATACATCTCATTTCCTAAATAGGCAGATGTCCATCTGAATAGTAAAGCTGATCCGAAGCTGATCATGCCCACGTGAAAAATCTAACCATCAAAATATAGACTCCTTTGAGTGTTTAAAAAGCAGCATGGCTCAGTGGCAGAGCATCTGCTTGGCAAGCAGAAAGTCCCAGGTTCAATCCCTGGCATCTCCATCTCAAGGGATCAGGTGGTAGGTGATGTGAAAGGCCTCTGCCTGAGATCTTAGAGAGCCAGTGTGAATCTGGGTAGTCAGTACTGACCTTGAAAGATCAAGAATCTGATTCAGCATAAGGTATTCATGTGTCCATGCCATCTAAACATTGCCAGATGACAGAGATCTTATATACAATGAGGTAGTAAACCTCTGTCTAGGCTGGGACATTTGAAATTGCAAGTAGCTGCAGTAAAGGGAAAGGCTAGGCTAGAACCCTGGTCTTAATTTTCTATGCACAAGGAAAAACATTCATTTGAGTTCCTGTCTGCCATCTGAAATAGCATGGCGTAGGCACCGGTTTACCTCCTCAGGGAGAACTAGGCCAGCAACACAAGACCTTACGAACACCTAAATCCTTAAATATATTACACATACTGTCTGCCTTTCATACCAAGGAAATGTTAATTGGGACTGACTCTAGTGAACTTCTAAAGCTGAAGAATGTATATACAGCCTAATCTACATCATGATTGACTAAGCCTTGACAAAAATGTTTAAAGCTACACAGTAGTCAAGTTTCAGATACAATACGAAAGACATGAGCAACTGCACTGTACCCTTTGCACTTGGATTTCACATATTTTCTAACTGAAACATAATCTTTTCAAATAATGATAATGCAACAGGTATGAATTATGAAATTTTCAGCATAAAATCTAGAATGATGTAATATGTTAAAATTATTCTACCTTGAACATAAACATTTGCTGAATGTTTATCCTTTCCTCTGTGGTTTTCAGCTTCACATTCGTAAGTTCCTTCATCTTCAAACTGGATATTGAAGATCTTGAGAACTGCACCAGATGCACTTATCTCAGCTGTGGTTGCCATGGGTTCACGATACTTAGACCATCTAAGCTCAGGAACAGGGCTTTGGAGAAAACAGAGCACTTCAATAGAGATGACTTGGCTCCTTTCTGTCCAGGCCCTCAAGTATGCTGTCCTATGCCTTCACTTATCAAATAATTTCCATTTCCTCTCTTCAAGTTCATTTTTTCCAGACTTAGCACTCTCTGGAACCAAGTGAGCTCGTTGCTTCTGTTGCTCCTCCAATGACTCCATCCTACTCTCAGTCCTTACCTTGACAACCTGATACAGATCCTAAATTCTGTACAGTGCCCACACTGCTTAACAGCTGTTGAACTATAATATTAACCATGTTCCCTCACATAATGGGAACCTTAAGGTAAATTTATCAGATGTAATTGTGTAATTAGAGACATAGCTAATAGCAGGGGAGAAAAGCAGGGTTGGGGAAGACTTTCAAACCCGGACACAGAAACTATTCAGGTAACATGGGCCACATCTGTGTTTTTCAGAGGTGTGGCCATTTATTTATTTAATCAGGGACAGAAAGGGCAACAAACCAAACCTTAACACTAAAATTAAGAACCTAACAAAGGTTAGTAAAATGTGAAAAAGAGGGCCAATATTAAAAACTAAATGTAGAAAATATATAGAAAAAGATACATGTATTTATTAATTACAAATTTTATAACATATATAAGGGCCCATTCACATCAAATATATACATAACATGGCAATACACACAGGCTTAAAAACATGACCTGATGCGTTTCGGCCTGCATAGGCCTTCCTCAGAGTACAAACAATTGAGTGGCAAGATGGCTATATAAATATAATACAATCATGTAGACACAATCATAATGGATACAAAATATAAATTCAATATGGACCAGAAAACAAGTTGTTCCAGAATACAACTACCAGGAACATAATAAATATGCAAGAGATCTTTAAAAGTGCAATCACTTGCCCAGTGGTTCTAAAGTATAGACTTTTGGTCCAAGAATTGCCTTCTTTGATTGTGTTGCCACAGTGTTCTCAACACTGCTTTTTACTTGAGAACACTGTGGTAAGGCTTCCGGTTTATGGAAACACACTGGCAGACGCACCTCTCGGGGGTCCAATCTGCACGCTAGTGGTCGGGGGGCAATTGTTCGCTACCCCCCCGGAGCCTTTGTGAAAGGCTCCTAGCCATGGGGCTAGGGTGGCCTCTTCACCAGTGCGATGCTGGGGAATTGAGGCGCTCTTCCCAACAGTCCTGCTGCTATGTGTCCAAATGGAACTAGAGCCGCTGACTGGGACAAGCATCGGAGATCGAACGTTTAAAATGCATTCTGAGCGAGGTCTTATGACCAACAATGACAGTGAGTTGAGTGAAAGCGAAATACCGGCAACTTAAAAAGAAAGTCCCCCCCCCTGAGAATGGTGAGAAAAGCTAGTGGGGGAGGAGCCCCTCCCATACGCATGAAATAAAAAGCGATTTAGCAAGGGGGGGAAGGAATTAAAAGCGTTGAAATCTGTTTTAAGAACCTTACCAGAGCGTGGATAGGTGTTGGGCGAATTTCAGAGACTTTAGCAAGTTTTGACAAAAGTAAACAATCCATAAAAATGGCGTGGAAAACAGTGGAGAGAGATAAACAGCCAAAAGTGAAACTACCAGGGAGCATGAGTCCACAACCGGAGGAGACCACTGAGTTCTCTAAACTTTTGGCAGAGCCAAATGGACCCATTGTGGCTTCAGATGGCTCTCCGGGATCCATTGCCCCCTGGCGGCTCGTTAGATGAGCTAGTCGAGGACTGGCATGGCCGCTCTCAGTGGCCATTGATGAGATAGCTTTCAGATGCCCTCTGCGCCCTCGTTCAAGTCTGGCTCCATGGTATACCCAGGCGCTGAGGCTGATGAAATGAAGGCTCAGACAGCTAGAGAGACAATGGCAGCGTGCTCGCGATGAGGCAGCAAGAGCATCCTATCGGATGTTTATGAGGTCGTATGAGATGGCAGTCAAGGCTGCAAAGAGGGAGTTCTATGCAGCCACAATTGCATCTGCAAGCTCACGCCTGGCACAATTGTATAGAACAATTCAGTCTTTAACAACTCTGTCACAGGGCAGACAAAATACTAGGGAATTGGATATGGGCTGTGAGGCTTTTGTGATGTATTTTGCAGACAAAGTCTTGTTGCTCCGCCGCGACCTCCCGGCCACACTTGAGACAGTGAGTGAACTTGAGGCTCCCATTCTGGTCCCATTCTGGATTATTTCAATCCGCTCAGCCTAGAGGAAGTTGACAGATTGATCTCAACGGTAGGCCCAACCACATGCAGCCTTGATCCTTGCCCCTCCTGGCTAATTAAAGCTGGCCACCAGGGGTTTCAAGGAACCCTCAGGGACATTATCAATGTCCCTTTCTGAGGGGCTTTTCCCAGGGGCTCTCAAGGAAGTGATGGTCCACCCTCTCTTAAAAAACCATCAGCCGGTCTCCAATTTACCCTATTTGGGCAAATTAATAGAGAGGGTGGTGGCGATACAGTTGCAGAACTTTCTGGATGACACTCCCACACTGGATCCCTTCCAGTCTGGCTTCCTCCTGGGTCATGGGATGGAGACAGCACTGGTCGTCCTCACAGACGACCTCCAGAGGCATCTGGATCGGGGCGGGATGGTGGTGCTGCTGTTGTTGGACCTGTCGGCAGCATTTGACACGGTCGATCATCAGTTGCTCGCCCACCGCCTCGTCGACGTGGGGATTCAGGGGCTTGTCTTGCAATGGCTTGTCTCCTTTCTCCAGGGTCAGGGGCAAAGGGTGGCACTTGGGGAGAAGCTGTCCCGAAGGCACCCACTAATTTGTGGAGTGCCACAAGGGGCAGTGCTCTCCCTGATGCTATTTAACATCTATATGCTCCCCCTTGCCCAGATTGCCCGGAGGCATGGGCTAGGGTGTCACCAATATGTGGATGATACCCAGCTCTATCTGCTGTTGGACAGTCAGTCTGGCTCTACCCCGGAAGATCTGGACCGGGTGTTGCAGGACGTGGTGGGATGGCTTAAGCTGAGCCGATTGAAATTGAATCCAATGAAGACGGATGTCCTATGCCTGAATCGGAGTGGTTCGGGGTTAGGGGTCCCTCTACCGGCGTTCGGTGGGGCGCCATTGGTGCCAGCGTTGAGGGTCCGGAGTTTGGGAGTGCTCCTGGATGCTTCCTTGACAATGGAGGCCCAGGTAGCAGCCACTGCCAAGACAGCCTTTTACCATCTTCGGCTGATTAGGCAGTTGGTCCCCTTCCTCAAACACAATGATCTGGCTTCAGTGATCCATGCTATGGTCACCTTGAGGTTGGACTACGGCAATGCTCTCTACATGGGGCTGCCCTTGGGGCAACTCCGGAAGCTGCAGCTGGTGCAAAACATGGCAGCCAGGCTGTTGATGGGCCTCCCTATGCGGGAGCACATCCAGCCTGTGCTAAAGTCGCTGCACTGGCTACCAATAGCATTCCAGATCCACTTCAATGTGCTGATTTTGACCTTTAAAGCTGTTTATGGTCAGGGGCCTGCCTACCTGAGGGACCGCCTTTCCCCTCATGTTCCCCAGAGAGCACTGTGATCTGGTACAGAGTGGTTCGGGGTTAGGGGTCCCTCTACCGGCGTTCGGTGGGGCGCCATTGGTGCCAGCGTTGAGGGTCCGGAGTTTGGGAGTGCTCCTGGATGCTTCCTTGACAATGGAGGCCCAGGTAGCAGCCACTGCCAAGACAGCCTTTTACCATCTTCGGCTGATTAGGCAGTTGGTCCCCTTCCTCGAACGCAATGATCTGGCTTCAGTGATCCACGCTATGGTCACCTCGAGGCTGGACTACTGCAATACTCTCTATGTGGGGCTGCCCTTGGGGCAACTCTGGAAGCTGCAGCTGGTGCAGAACACTGGTGCAAAACATGGCAGCCAGGCTGTTGATGGGCCTCCCTATGCGGGAGCACATCCAGCCTGTGCTAAAGTCGCTGCACTGGCTACCAATAGCATTCCAGATCCACTTCAATGTGCTGATTTTGACCTTTAAAGCTGTTTATGGTCAGGGGCCTGCCTACCTGAGGGACCGCCTTTCCCCTCATGTTCCCCAGAGAGCACTGTGATCTGGTACACAAAACCGCCTGGGCCCCCCTGGGCCTAGGGATGCCAGGTTGGTGGTAACTAGGACCAGGGCATTCTCCCTGGTGGCACCAATGCTCTGGAATGAGCTCCCCAGTGAGATCAGAGCTCTGTGGGACCTCCAGCAATTCCGCAGGGCCGTGAAAATGGAGCTTTTTCACCAGGCATTTCAGTAGGAAAGATCCTATTTTGGCTGTGCTGCACTTGCACTTTATTATATGACACCGCCACATTTAAATGGTTTTAACTTTATTTATTTAAGTGAAAATGAGCTGATCTATTTTATTGTTGTATTTTATGTATGTATTTATGCTGGTTTTATAATTGTTGTAAGTTGCCTGAGCCACTT